TTTTTAATCCTAAAATTTGATGTTTTGGTTGATCGAGTAAAAAACTAATAACAAGCCTATGGTATATTTTAAATTTAATATTTATTGTAAAACTTAAGAACAAAAGAACAATATAATAAGGAAGACAAGAAGAATATCACACAAGAGAAACAATATAAGATTACTTTCTTTCTTTCAAGTGTCTTCAACATTATTCTCAACACCACTATTTATAGGATTACATTGAGGAATACCAAAGGGTGTCATAAACATTACATTAAACCTTGAGAATTACTATCCATTAAAGAGGAAATAAACCTAGGATTTATGGTCATCCAATTAACCATATTATCAACAACATTACTACCAATAAAGGGTGAAATTAACCTAGGTGTTATGGTCATCCATTTGCCACATTATCAACAACATTACTACTCATAAAGGAGGGAAATTAACCAAGGAGTTATGGTCATCCATTTAACCACAAAAATGATTTACAATACTCCCCCTTGGATGACCATTGATAGATAATATGCCTCATTAAAACCTTACTAAGAAAAAACCCTGTGGGAAAAAAAACTTAGTGAAGGACAAAAGAGTACACATAGCTTGTATTACGCTTTGTTTGCTACCTCGTTAAAAACCTTGCCAGGAAAACCCATTGGGATAAAACCTAGGTCAAGGGAAAAAAAGTGCAGCGCATAGTTTACTCCCCCTGTTGCGAACATCATTTAATTTCTTGGAGATGATGCATTCCAGTCTTGAATATCAATTTTTCAAATGTTGAGGTTGGTAGTGCTTTAGTGAACAGATCCGCTAAATGATCAACTGAGCGAATTTGTTGAACATTTATTTCACCTTTCTTCTCAAGATCATGTGTGAAAAAGAATTTTGGTGAAATGTGTTTTGTTCTATCTCCTTTAATATATCCTCCCTTCAGCTGAGCTATACATGCAGCATTGTCTTCGTACAATGTAGTTGGAATATCTTTTTCCATAGAAAAACCACACATTTTCTTGAATATGTTGAGTCATTGATCTCAACCAAACACATTCCCGACTTGCTTCATGGATGGCTATTATTTCTGCATGATTTGAAGAAGTGGCAGCTAATGTTTGCTTCATTGAACGCCAAGATATAGTTGTGCCTCCATATGTAAATAAATAGCCTGTCTGAGATCGAGCTTTATGAGGATCAGAAAAATATCCAGCATCTACATAACCAATCATTTTTGACTTGGATTTATTAGAATAAAATAATGCCATATCAACGCTTCCCTGAAGATATCTGAATATATGTTTGACTCCATTCCAATGTCTCTTTGTTGGGGTCGAGCTGAATCTTACAAATAAACTTACCGCAAAATAGATATATGGTCGAGTATTATTAGCAAGATACATAAGCGCCCCAATGTCACTAAGATATGGAGTTTCATTGCCAAGAAGCTCTTCATCATTTTCTTGAGGTTGAAATGGATCTTTATGTATGTCAAGCGATCTCACAGCCATCGGGGTACTCAATGGATGTGATTTATCCATGTAAAAATCGCTTTAAAAACCTTTTCTGTGTATGTTGATTGATGGACAAAAATTCCATTTTTCAAATGCTTAATCCGTAGGCCAATAAATTTTTTTGTCTTACCAAGATCTTTCATTTCAAATTCTTTCGTTAAACACTCAACAACTTTTGAAAGCTCTTTAGGAGTGCCAATGATATTTAAATCATTAACATACACAACTATTATAACAAAATCAGATCCAGACCTTTTTATAAAAACAAAAGGACAAATAAGGTCATTTTTATACCCTTCATTTAGCAAAATTGGCTAAGACGATTGTACCACATTCGCCCTGATTGTTTCAATCCATTTAAGGATTTCTGAAGCCTTATCGAACAATTTTCTCGTTAATTTTTATATGCTTCAGGCACATTGTATGCTTCAGGAACTTTCATGAAAATATCGTGGTCTAATGAGCCATATAAATAGGCTGTGACAACATCCATTAGACGCATTTCAAGCTTTTCATGAACTGCCAGATTTATTAGATACCTGAAGGAAATTGCATCAACCACAGGAGAATATGTCTCCACATAATCAATGCCAAGCCTTTGCTAAAAAACCTTGTGCCACAAGTCGTGCTTTATATCTTACGACTTCACCTTTTTCATTTCGTTTTCGCACAAAAATCCATTTGTACCCCACTGGCTTGACACCTTCAGGTGTTCGGACTATTGGTCCAAAAACTTCACGTTTTTCAAGTGAAGTCAATTCCGCTTGAATTGCGTCTTTCCATTTTGGCCAATCATTTCTCTGTCTGCATTCATTGACAGA